CTGTTCAGCGCCGCTTCAACCTTGGTGCTAAATCGAATTGATGCCTCTAACATTTCAGAGAGTACACGTGCATTTGGAAACACATGCGATCAGCGCAGAGCGCCCTGTCCAACAAATCTTTCCAGAGGCGTCCTTGGTAAAATGGCAAAATGGTGCAGGGCTCACCGGTGTGGCTACGCAGGCGGGTGCGCCAGGACCGACGGAGAGTAAGCCCAGCTTGGCTTTAGCAGCGGAGCGCGCACGCAGTGCAACAGCGGCTAGCAACCCCTCCCTTGATCAGCGGTTGCACGGGCATCCACACACTGGCTTTGCCGACGAAACTGGGCGTCGGACCTGGCTGAAGGAACAAAGAAGCGTTCCTGCGAGAATACATGCACAGCGTCCACAAAGAACGTCAGCTTGTTGAGTAGAATCACACAGCTCCTGAACACAAGAGCTCAAAGCCTTGTAATCTATCCTCAGGGGATGTGGCGGGCTGCGGCGTGAAATCATTCGCTGTAGGACAGGAAGTGCGCCCCCCAACTTCCAAGGGTCCTCGAAGATAAGCTCAGATTGCGGCAAACTCAAAGCCGAATTAGTAACTTGTGCTGGAGGGGGGATCCCTACATCCCTCCAAGCCTATCTAGAGCATCCTCATGAGGCTCAAGCCTTCCAGTTCAAGGCTGTGCTGTGTGCACGAAGCACAGCTGTCCAGAGCGTCCGCCTTGGCCCGGCAGAACGGGGAGGTCACTGCCCGGGGGACGGGTGGGGTGAATTGTGGGGTTTAGGGTACACATACGGGTGCAGAGTATGCTAACCCTGGGTTTAGCGGCAGGTACTCGCCTCGTTTGTGTGCGTCGGACCGGGAAACAGATCTCTCCTGAAATTGGCGAGTGCTGCACATGGTGTCTGGCTAGGTAGGTGCCAACTCCAGCGTCCAATTGCGGCATTCACAAAGCGGCATTCACGAAGGCTAAGGAGACGCGCAGGAGCAAGTCAAAAGGTTTGTCCCTGCCTTAACTACTCTCTTTATTTGGCCTTTTGAAGCGCTTCTGAACAAACGTCGGCGGTAATGAGGAATAGGATCTGCACTGGAGTTGATGGGCTGAAGCACCTGTCGTGGCACTGGAACCTATTCTTTGCTCTTTTAATGAGGTCACGCCAGGAGAGAAGCGTCTCATAGCATGGGTATAAGGCACTCCTCCATCTTTATGTGACAGCAACGACACGTCTCCTTGAGCAGCCTGCACTTGAATGTTGTGCAAAGACCAGAAGCTTCTGCGAGGCATCATTTCAAAAGGGTCTCAAGCGTGCTGTTTCAGGCAAGGGTATGAGATCAGCATAGCAACTTCTACAGAAACGGATCCTTTGGACAGGAGCCTTCAACTTTGCTGTAGCTTCTGTCAACAAACAACTTCCAACTTTTCCGTAGATAGCTTCACTACAATATTTGCCTGTGGTCTGACGTCTTGTCAGCACGGCCAGTTAGCTGGCCACTGCTTAGGCCATTTGCTTCCTAATTATCTGGAAGAGTCTGGACAGACATGAGGGTGATCTTTTCAGGCCTTCTCTGGATTGCATTAATTCAGTCTTTGAGCATCTCAAAGAACGGGATCCGCTTGATTGCCAGATTGTTCTATTGAGGCAGCGGCTCGGTGTCACTCTGTGGTATGTTTGAAGAGAAGGCAACTGTGGACTGGCCCTCTCTCTTTGGACAAGCCAGAAGCCAATGGGATAAGCGCATCAGCGCCTTCACTCACAGCACTTTTTTCCGGATTTTCAGAAGCTCTTCGCACAAGATGGCCACTTACACCGTGGAGATCGAGTACCTGACAAGGGAGAAGGAGCCAGAGTACTTTGTTGAGCATGGGGTGGCCGGTCCGAGACCGAACGAGACTGTAGAAGCCTTGGCGGGTGAGCGCTGAGATCCCCTTGCTACTGCACTGTCAACACTATGCAGGTTGCAGCCTAGACAGGCTCCTAAGTTCCTCCTGAAACTGTGCTGTTACTGCGCAAACGCTCAGCACCCTTGCCTTCCTTGATGTGCCTCTTTCGCGCCTTTGATAGAGACGCGAGTAGATGCCTTGAAAATGAAGTCACAAATGTTTCAGTTCAGCTTTCGTCGTTGTAGGCCGATTTCTGGAGGCGTGCCGGCAGTACAACAGAGTGCCGGAGGGTACTTTGGCTCGGGTGGTTGCCCCCCACCGCGGGGAGATGCTGGAGCTGGACCAGGAGTCCTGGACCGCACCATGCTCCGGTATAGCCCTTCGATCTGACCAGTAATATCTGTTCCTTTCCAAGTGATATGCAAGCAAGCACAGGACTCCTTCACCCTTGACACCCCATCTTGTCTGCGAAACATTTCTGTTGTTCTGCGGCAGCCTGCACACCTCTGGCAAGTATGGACTTCTTGAATGGTGCTGGCTAACTTGTTCTGTATGACAAGCACTCCTAGATTGTCGACTCAATCTTTCTGGGCCTGACTAGCAACATGTGTTTTATCCCCAAGTAACTCGCAGCCAAGATTGCTAGACGATCCCCTGAACCTTATTGATAACCCCAGTTATAAAGTAAACTCCCTGTCATTCAGCCGCAGCCTGCAAAAAGTTTGGCAAGTACGAGTATCAAGTTGCATTCTGATCAAAAGACGACGCCTGACTTTCTCTGCATGACAAGACCAGCAAGGTGCACATACTGCTAATGAAACTGGTGATAATCATTTCACACTACGCCTTCTACCAACAATCGAGTAGAGAAAAAGGCGGAAGTCGAAAGTTGTTTCATGAGGAAGGCTCTAGGTTATACGCATCGGTTGTAAGTCTTTCCGTCACGATGAAATCCTGATGTTGCAAACGGTGCTTTTTGCAGTGGCCCTTGATGCCACCCTCTCGACGGTGATGATTGCTATCACGGACCAGGAGATGACCCGGCATATAAGGAGCTGTCTCGATACCTTTGTGAGAGTCTGGCAGCAAAGCCATGCATAGCAGCCTCACGATCCCAGGTCGGATGCTTCAAACAGTCTTCTATCCTATCTTACTCTCACATAGAAGACTGTTTGAAGCATCCGACCTGGGATCGTGAGGCTGCTATGCATGGCTTTGCTGCCAGACGGTGTATAGGGAACGCAATGTTGAGCTGGTTTATGTATGCAATTATGGGTTGTTCACACATTGAAAAATTGGTTGCCTCTCTAGAATGGCCGGCTTGCCGATGATGCATGTCTTTGTACACGTCTTGTGCATGGCCACCAACCATCCTTAAGGATTGCGCTCGCTAGTTAAGTTCCATCATGTGCAATGAGCCGGATGGTACATGGTTGCCATGTGACTGCCAAGTTGTATACATACAGCTTGGCCTAGCCCGCTCTAACCTGATCAATGACGTTATATCAAAATCGATGATAAGGATCACCCTTGACAGCTCTGTATTAGGTGCTTTGGCCAAATCCTAGCGGTTTCCAGTTTTTCCTCTTTGTTGCCGCCTTGACTTACCACATATCCCTTTAAAGGACACACTCGAATAGCCGACTGTTGACTTTCTGCATTTTAAGTCTCTCCAGAATTGAACAACTCCACAGTCGATGCTCGTGACTGCTTGCCCGGCACCTGCACAATAAAGCATGCAAGCCCTTAGGCTTTTAAAAACATCGACATGTGCTTAGACAGGCTGAAAAGCTGAGTGAACTAGTCAAAAGTCCCCCAGGATGCTCAGACCGACGTGACGGTCGGATCCACATTAAGCAGCAACGATGCCATGCACAAGGAAGCCATCGAAACCCGGGTAAACGGTTGCATTCCCGCAGACCGTTCACATGGAAATCAAACAGCTGTCAACGGCACTCTGTACACGTATTGACTGCAAAAACTAAACCGAGTGCTTTCCTGGTTAGAAAAAGCCTGAGAAGCTACTGCCAGGACTCGAAGGACTCGCGCTCTCGCATGGGCCGGTCAGGAGAGTGCCAATCAGACTGACCTTCAGTAGTGCTTCGCTTGCTCGGAATCGGGCTTTACCGTGTGCACTTTGTACAGCGCGCGCGTGCGCGAGACGAGCACCAACCCGCACGCGACCCCCGCCGCGCAAACGGCGGCGAGGATGAGCAGCGTCGTACGGAAACACTCGGGGCCGTGACACGTGTGCGCCGGAGAGGGATCCCCCGCGTGCTGCACTTCAGCCTCGCGGTCGTAGAGCACGCCGGCCACCCACGTGGACAGGAAGTAGGCGGCGAGGGGGGAGGAAATGCTGCCGGAAAAGTGTGCGGAGCGTCAGGGGCTCAGTAGAACGGAAGAGGCCGATGAACGCTAAATGAAGTTTCTCAAGTCTTCCATGGACGAGACGTTTACTGTAGCCCACCATACGTTCAACGAGGAAGAGACTCCAATAAGACGGTCTGACATCAGTGTCGATGACTCGACTGCCAATCGAACGAGACCCATGATGCCGGCGGATAGGTTGCTTGGACGTCCAATTGGAGTACAAACCGTCATGACTTGTTTCCAGTAGTGGCGCGATGGCAAGTCCTGCTCCTTTAAAGAACGTCTGTGTCTCATACAAGTCTCATAGCAAGGCCATCTGAGACGAGCATTCGCCGCTGCTTCCTCGTAGACAGAAATGCCGCCGTCCCTTTTTGGCTTCAAACAACATCCTGAAATCAAGGTTTACACACTTCGCACCACACCCGTCCGAGACGACTGGAATTGAAAGCAGGCAGGGCGGAGACAACGAATCCGAGCGGTCAGGCCTTACGTGACGGTGTTGTAGATGGCCCCGTAGTGCTTGAGCCCGAACATTTCGGACGTGATGACGGGCGTCAGCGTCCAATGGGCGCCGTACGAGAGGCCCACCAGAATTGACCCTATGTACAAGGTGAAGGCCGCTGCACAAACAAGAAAGGATCTCGTCTTGCCGCAGAAGCTTGGCGCTTGACCGCTTGGGGAGGTTGGTCAGCTTTTCTTCCGAAACAAAGGTGTCAAGCGCATCGCAAGCGCAGAACTAAGTGGAGGTTAGCAATATCCGTTGTCTCCAGCCCTGAACCAAACAATCCCAAACAAGGACGAAGGTTCGATAATATGTACTACACTTTGTTACGATTTTCCTTGGCAATTGGGGCGACAGCAGGCGGAGAGCGAACAGGCAGGACTTGGCTAGCATGGCCGACTCAGACCGGCAAGATTTGGCGCATCAGAACGACTGGGACATACCAGGACTTTTCGTTTGCCCCCAAAGACACGTACGGTCAGCCGTAACACCAACATACGTGGTGAAGCTGAGGCCAACACGAAGCTGGAGCCCTAGATGCTACGGTGCTTCGAGCCAGAAGCTTGTGCACACGCGACTTCTAGTAAACAGATCCATATCATCCTCAACAACGAAGAGACGACATTAGGATTCAAAGCGAGGGAATATTACTTCGATATCGTGTATCGGCTTACCTCCTGAGGCTAAGAGGAGTTGCGTGATCCCCATGACCGCGATAACTCCCACTAGCATCAACGTCCGGGGATACCCGGCCTTGACGCACCACTCGGACGTATACCTGACGTCAAGAAGTAGGACAAAGTCAGTAGTTCAAATGATGAGTATTGTACTGGGAGTCCTGAAAGGGCTTCTAGCTGACCCAAGGTCGCAACCTTCCAATCAAGGTCCCTATGGGGCCAGTTGAATTTGCACTCACTTTCAAGTCGCAAGAAGCAAGAGGACGGCGCAACGAATCGTTAAGCCGCGAACCGAGCGTCAGCTTGCGCCGCTCAACTCAAATGCATCCCTCGCGCCGCTGCGGCGCTGCCATTTGGGCCGACGGCCCACCTTAACGTCTAAAAGTCAAGATTTGAATCCGTGGGACAAAACAAACGTGCATCGCTCACCCCGCCAGCAGCCGCCCCGCGCAGTTCCAGATGCTGACGAGTGACACAAAGGACGAGATGCTCTTGGTGTCGAGTGCCTTCCCAATCTGTGCCAGGTTGTTGATGATCGTCAGCCCGCTCCCCGTTCCCGCCGCGACCGCAAAGAAGAGCAACCTGCGGAGATGAGAGCACGGGTTTGACAGAAGCAGAAGCCCTTTTTTGGGTGTATGGTCTGGTTTCCAACGCAGCTATGAAGAGGTTGATGAGGGCAACAAAAATTGTTGTTATTGATGATCGTCAGCCCGCTCCCTGTATCGGCCGCCACTGCAAAGAAGAGAAACTTGCGAGGACCACAACAAGGGTTCGACAGGAACCAGGTTGCCAAGCCCAATCATTTTTTGGTGGTTCGGCATGTTCAATCAGCCACGAAGATGGCTGACTTCTCGATTTAGATGCCACATGTCTGATTGCACGACACGGCGACCGGGCAATGAAGACAAACCAGCACTACAGATCCCCGTAGCGAAGAGGATTGTCGTCACCACCAAGCATGCAGCATCCACGGTTTATCTGACACGGATCCCGAATCGAGCAACCGCAGATCTTCAAAGGGCGTTTGCAACAATTGTACAGAATCTCAAACCTTGTACAGAAGCGACGAGCGAATGTCAATCGGCAGACAAACTGAGAAGAGCCGTGAGTGCCTTACCAGTAGTCTATCGTCCGCAGGCTCTCCGCGAGCGTGTACTCCGGGGGCACCACTCGGACGAACTTTTCGAGCGCGAGCGTCGGCTCTTCTCCGCCGGACACCTGCTCCTCGTCCGCATCGGACAGGCGCCGGTACTCGGAACCTCCCACGAACTGCAGAACGGAGGGTTCAAGTTTCATAATCGAACAAAACCAACGCTTGTTCCTATTTCGGAATGTCAAAACTCTCGAACTTCGCACCAAGCTTGTCTGTGAAATGGCCAATGATGGGGTGAACCAGGCGGCGGAGCGTATGTTCAGGCGAGTCCGTTGATGCATAAGAAACGTCTTTGTTTGGTGACGTTACCTGGCATCGACCCCACCGAGGTAATAGACTTTCTGGAAGAAAGTCTATAACCTTTTCCATTAGCGAATCAGGCTGTGATGGATTCGAGCGCGGGTTTTTTTCAACTGAAAGCATCTCTGAAACTCAGTAGGTTTTCTGAAGGCTGCGAATGAACCTTGCGAGCCCAGTACGGAGACTGCTCTGTAAAGCGATTGCCCCAGCCAGGCACAGGTGTAACGGGATTCACCCAGCCTCTCAGCAGCCCCCTTACGAACTTGATTGGGTTTGAAGAACACCGTCATGATGAAACGGAAAGCTTGCTGGTGCCCAACGGGATGCTTCGAACTCCCAAGACAAAGCTCGTCATTCTCACCGGTATTGCAGCTGGCAGCAGCAACACCGCCATCATGACCCCGGTTAGTGTTGACCCCCAGGCCTGACCCACTTCCGCAACGCTCTCCACAATCGTGATCAGCATCAGATACACCGCCAGGACCACCACGATGTAGTACGACCACCGGAACCGTCGTGCGGTCTCGCTGACGTCAGCGTCCCTCAGGACAGGATACTGCTTGATGAAGAACATTACGGAGGCGGAGACGGCGAACGGCGCAACCGCTTGCATGAGGATGTAGGCGCTCGCGTGCGGCTCGAAGAAGCTCTTGTACACCTGGAGATGGGCAATAAATGGGTTCAGGTTTCAGATGACAGCAGCACTAACGTGTGATTCCGGATGTCAAACACATGACGTACGCTCTACAGAACTAGAGGCTACTAAAACCACAGAGAAGAACGCCCGTGACCAAAGCTGGAACCCATGTTATCAATCAGGCAGAAGCAAGCCTCAACCGAGCACTCTGAAAAGCATCAGCCCACGATTTGGATACAGAAAGTTTGGAAAACCCCTGTGTAACTTGGCAACTTTCAGCACAAAGTTTCTTGAGTTGAAAAAGGGATCCAGTTTCGTCACAATCTACGAAAGAATCCGGAAGTAGGTTCCCGCAGAAGCGTTTGTATTCTACTGTAGACTGCTGGACAGCATTTCTGCTAGTCTGCTAGAGACTCAATATGTCTTGTCGGACTCACCCTCGCAAACATGGCCCCGCTAATCCCAATATATGCCTTGAGCAGCCCGATCACAACGCCCCGCTCATTTGGAAAAGTCTGCATGCTGGTCACCATAACCGCCGTCCCAACCCACGTCTCCCCATTCGCCCCCACCATGATTGACAAACACACGAGCCAATACGGCGGCGCTATCCACTGCTTACTCGTCATCCAAAGCGCCAGATACCCGAAAAGATTACACGTTCCCCCGATGAAAACCGACACCCACGGCGGGAACAGGTTGTACATCAACCCAGAGATGACCCCCGTGTTCCCGCCGAAGTCCTTGCTTGACCCGAGCGCGTCGATTTGGGTTTGGGTGTAACCCAGGGTTTCCTTGAGGTGGTCGGAGTAGACGGCAAACGTGTATGCCAGGCCACCGCAGGCCTCCGCATAGACGGCGGCAGCGAGGCCGATCCAACGGCTCTCGTTGAGCCATCGCCAGCTGGAGACTGCCATCAATGATGGCCCTTAACCACTCTGGGTTAGAGGCTGACTAGCCCGGTTTCAGCCCGGTTTCAACATGACCCTGTGGTAGAAGGGAACTGAAAGAGATGCGCTGAACGGCAGACTCCTATGTCTAGTTCAACATATGGGAGCAACTTGATCTGCTCCACATCGTAGGACCAGCTTCGATGGCTTTACAACAGCGGAGGGGTTTTGCAATTGACTTGTTATGGGTTCTAACTTCTGATCCAATCGGAACCTGATGCTCTCCCTGCTTCTAGTGCCCATCAAAAGTCAGCAGCAGCTTTCAAGGCATGATTCTGGAGGCCACTTCCTGTCGCCTCAGGTCCGCTGTTGACTGATCTCAGATCAGAGCTAGCTACTCTTCAGAAGGAGTGTCTTTCTTCTTGCCCAAGACAATGACATAGCCTCCGTCTTCTGCAGATCAGGAAAAAGGGAAAAACCGGTCAGCGTTCAGGCTTGATCAATGAAGTGCATTGCGAGAACGTCGACTGCAACCACATAAGTTGCCCATATCCACAGACAGCCCTGGGAAGTAACTAGATGTATACTTCCATTTTACTTCTTAGCACTGAGATCTATGCAGTGTTTACCTCGCCCCCCCACAGACATTGTATCCCACTAAAGCTGCTGAAGCTCTTGAAAACATCTGCTTGCTTAAATTGACGATGCATATACAACTTGCTCAGAAGAATGATCTGACAGGCCAGATGTGACCATGTCACCATTCATCTGGACAGCATACTGGCCGCTGCGCATCAAGAGGCCGCTTCATTTGAAAGCACAGCGAAAACACCCAGCCGCAGAACAATTGCGCTTGTGAACAACTAGTGGATTTTGGGATTCCATCAAAGAATCGTAAGGCTGGGAGCTGCGCACCTGCAATCTTCTGCTTGATCCACCCCTCTAGCCACACCGCCGTTGCAAGGCCAGCTGAGACTGCAAGACCGGCGCGAGCAAGAGACACCCAGAGAGGTGGACGCTTCAGGAAGTAGCTCTCCGGCACCTCCCTGATCCTCCTAGGGGCGCGCAGAGCTTCCTGGGCTACCGCCTCCTCTACCGCCATGATCCAGACGGAGCGTCGTGGCGGCTGCTAACTAAGACCAAGTAGGTACCTCTCATGATGCCGAGGAAGCTGGTTCTGAAGACCCCAGAAAATGCTCAGGAAATCTATACATACATACATCACATTATTATTCTGAAGTGCAACGTCCCTGGCAAAATGGAGCGCTAGAGCCTAGATTTGACATGCGGTAGGGAAATTGCTTCAACACCGGGCCGCGTTCTACTGTGCAGGTTAAGGGTGCCAAAGAATTAATCGAGCACTACATAGAAACGGGCCGCTTGATGCTTTGTTTCGAATTAAATGGCGCCACCACTGAAAAGTGGAGATTTGCACTTTGTTCAGGTCATTTTGGAAGCTACTGATCAACAAGTAGCTCAATGTGCATGTGAAGATCAGAAAGGCAGCTTGCCCAGCTGCCAGCACTGGCAGTCTCACAGCATGCCCATTGGCAAAAGCATTGTGATTTATTACAGGTGCAGCAAAAGAGGTTGATTCCCCTGCTGCTGGCCTGCACCTGCGCCCTTGTTTGCGGGCAGAATGGTGTGTCTGCGCTCGGAAGATCATCGAGTGCTGCTGGCTAGCTTGCTCATCTTCCGCCTCCTCAATGCCCTTTTGGTGCAAACATACTTCAATCCAGATGAGTATTGGCAGAGCTTGGAAGTGGCGCATCGGCTTGTATTCAGGTAAGTTGCAAACCGTAGATTGCAAGCTGCCCCAGCCCTGCTTGACGGAGCTGGGAGGGAACATTGGACTTTGTGTCTTAGCTACAAAACCCAGGTTCTAGCTGATCACACCCAACAACACAATCAATTCAGTTCCCAGGACTTGCTTGTACTCTTCTTGGCGCTTGTCTCAGCACAACCGGGAGCCAGTTGATCTGTTCAGTACACACTGGGATCAGGGAATGGGCGGACTATGCCACTTTGTCTGCTCTGAGTTGAAACAGAAAGGCTTGGAATTTTGACTTGAACGCATATCTGGTCTTGATTTCAGGTATGGATATATAACCTGGGAGTGGCGTGAAGGCATCCGCAGCTATGCCCACCCGCTCATCTTTGCTGCGCTGTACAAGGCCCTCGCTCTCTGTGGCTGCGACTCTGCAGCAGCGTTGGTAGGTGCGCTGGTCCAAGCAGCCTTTTGCCGGACACCAAAATGGTTAAATGCTAATGGGGTACGGTGGTGGTCATGTGGTTACAGCTCACCTCAACTGCGGTCTTGAGCCCCCTTCTGATGCAAATGGCGTTGAAAGCATATGCAAGAAGCATGCCCCCTTGGTTTTGTTTGTAAGAGCCGTAAATCAGTCCAGGCTTGCTTTGATTCGCTCACATCCACGACTTTGGGCTGGGGTGTGTTTCTTTATCCAACACTTGCTGGAAGGGAACACTCTGGGATACTCGCCAGGAGACTAGAACGTGTTTTGAGAAGTTCAGCCGATAGTGTATGTCCATAAGCACACCATCGCTTATGTTTTTCTGCAGAGGATTGCACCCAGACTCCTCCAAGGTGCACTCGCAGCTGTCGGAGATTCATTTCTGTACAAGCTGACGGGGCGCATTTTCTCCCAGAAGGCCGCCAAATGGGCCGTATCCTCTTACTTGTCACAACAGATTTTCAAACTTTCACTGTTGGCCTTATTTCATTAAGAACTGCTTTGTGGCCCACGTTTGCCAAGCGTCTGTCTAATCTCAATTCGAAACCGCTCGCTTGACACATCTGCCAACCCTTCTCTTCATCCAATGAGCTGCTCACTTTCTTCAGAAGAGCCATTAGAAGTTTCAGTGTCAGTTGGCTAAGGCTGTTCTCGTAACTGCTTTCCTTGACACCGCGTCTTCAGCTGGTGTGCCAGCTGCTCAACTGGTTCACGTTCTTCTGCATCGTCCGACCCTTCTCGAACTGCCTCGAGACCGTCCTCACGACCGCCGCCCTCTTCTACTGGCCCCTCGAAACCAAGCCTCTGCCAATGAAAGCAACAGAACAAGGATTCCCATCAAGCTCCAAGCAACCCACAAAAGTTTACAACCAGCCGCAGAGGAATGACTCACTTCTTCAGACAGAGACCGGAAGGGCCTCCAAAACTGCATACGGATACGCAGACAGCGAAACGGACAGCAAGTATGGGACCAGCAGAGCTTGTGTGAATAGGCCCCTCGCCTTGTCTCTTGCCGGGTTGGCATGTCTTTTCCGGCCAACGAGCGCTGTCCTTTGGGTCTACTTGGGATTCCAGGAGTTGGCCAGAACGCCCGACAAGAAGCGCTTTGTGTTCCTCGAAGTCCTTCCGATAGGGTGAGCCGCACTTCATTGGCTTCCTTCGCTTTGTTCCCGTGTTCCCCGTTTGTTCAAAGCTCGAAGAACTGCAATGCCTGTTTCTAGATTCGGATTCCTTGCCTTCCAGAACGTCGTCGTTTCTTGAGGGACAGAATTCCGTTCAAATTCCCTTTTGAGCTTTGTTCGAACCTTCGTCGAGTCGGCGTCTCTTTCCGGTTCCATTCGACGCAGGTGCTTGTCGAACGCAACTCCCGCATGGCTGACATATGGCTTGTCTTCGACTCAGCATCTGATTGAAAAGATGTGTCCAATGATTGTCTGAGGGGCTCTCGGTCACGACTTTTTGAGTAACGAGCTGCCTTGAACTCAATCTCAAAAAGGGCGACCCATTTGGCCGCCAAGTCCAATATCGGAGCTCTGAAATCTGAGCTTTTCTGTCGGCATACGCAGCTTCGTTTGCTTGGGCGCATCGACGCTCCTGGACCGTTGGATGTACGGCGAGTGGACGATCGTACCGCTGAACTTCGTCTGCTTTAATCTTAGTGGGGGCGCCGACGCTTATGGAACGCACCCTTGGCACTGGTAAGGCAAGGTTCGGTGTGGCTACGACTGAAGATTGCTAGGGTGTCTTTGACTTTTGATCAACGCGTGACAGACTGGTACGGTTCATTTCACACTCAAATTGCGTCTGCAGGTATGTATCAAGATGGAATCGGTCCGATTTTTGAAAGGTTGAGCGTAAATAGTTGCTGGAAGGCGAAGAGCTTGGAAGTACCCGTTCGGTTATAAGCTTTCGTATCCGGTCTTGTTTGAAAAGACCATAGTCATCTGGGCCCGAGACTTGAAACTAAGCAAGTCTCTGGAAGCGTACCCAACGTCGAGCCGGCACAAGTGTGGACGCTGTGGCGTCCTTCTGTCTTCTTTTTATTTTGCTTCTGTAAAGTCAGTTAGTAAAACGCAAGACGATCGCAACGCGTCCTCAGTGCTCGCATTCGAAGCGGATTCATCTTTTCGACCACTGCAAACCGTTCGCAGGACTTATCACTGCGCGGCTGCCTTTGTTTGGAGCACACCTCGTACCCTTCCCTTTCCTTCTCGCTGCTTTCAAGGGAAGGACCGTCGCCGAAGTCATGGCCGGCGCATCGTTGCAGGTACTTCACGGGTGGCCTCCCAGCGATGGCCACGACGCTCCTTCCGTTCGCTATGGTGGGCGTCTGGCGGAGCCGGAACGGAGCGCTTGCGTGCGTCATCGTCTGGGTTATGGCGGCTTACAGCTTGTTGGGACACAAGGAGCTCAGGTGAGGCGAAGCGGAGCTTTCCTAACAATCATCCAAGTACGGTGTTCCTCTTCCAAACTTATGTCGTAAAGATAGAGGAATGAAAATGGACCTTGAATCCAGTCCGATGAAGATTTGTGAAGGGATCTGAAACCCGCTAAGCCTGCAACCACCAACCGAACCGAGGTCTAGATGGAAAGCGGGGCTCACTTTGTTGTAAGGGGGGGTGGCCCGTCCTCTCTGTGGTAAGGACAAGCAAGCTGCTGCCGTTTCACTAACAAAACAAGTAGAGATTATGGAGTTTGGGGCAGCTTGGGGCACCGATGTCTCTGTCAGCGTTGCTGAAACTGATGTTGGCTTCAGTAAGCCTCCCAGCCAGGTCGTTCGCTGATCCACGTTTCGTCGTTCTTATGGTATGATTCGGAAACATTGTTGTGGCCAACTTTTCTGGTTGTTTGCTTGCGGAAGGAAGCATCCCCTTCACCCACGTTCCTGGTCAGCGTCACGTAGTAGCTGGTTTATAACTTGTGCTACACGCGTGTTCTCGCTTTCCGAGCAACCCCGCATTCGATCTCTCCAACCTGCCCCCGTGCCTGAGCAGGTTCATCCTTCCGATTCTGCCCCTTGTAATGGCCTTCGCCGGCGAAGCGCTGGCAAGCTTGGACAGTCCCGGTCGTTCCGGTGGCCGCCCTGATGCGGAGCTTCCGGAAACGGAATTGCAACCCTCCAAATCGGGACGGGATTCAGCTCCCCGAAGCTCGGAACGAGATTTGCACCCCTCCAACTCGGAACCCGATCTCTCTTCCAACGACCCGTCGCGCTTCCAAACGAACCCCCGAGTCGTAACGTCCTTGCACAGGCGCCGGCCGGTCAACCCCTCCAAAACCCCTGCTGACGTCACCCAGTCCAAACCCCCGCCCGGCACCGTCGGCGCAAAGCTCTCCGCTGACGTCACAAGCACCTGCGGAAACGCCCCCGCTCCCTCCAAACGCTCCCCTGGCGCTACCACCGCCGTCTTCTCTCCCGTCGGCACCTCCGGTCTCGGCAAACCCTCCGCTGACGTCTCACCCCCTTCCGCTGACGTCACACCTCCCTCCGCTGACGTCACACCCTCCTCGCGGCCCCTCGCTCTGCGCCTGTTGCTCGCGTTCCTAATTCTTACCCAAATTCCGATGGCGCTTTACTTTTCGATGATTCACCAACGGGGCGCGGTGCGAGTCGCCGAGTGGCTGGCAGACGAGGCGCGGGCGGGCGGGGTTTCGGGGGTTTGGTTCCTCATGCCGTGCCATTCTACGCCGTTCTACAGCCACGTGCATGCGCGCGTGCCCATGCGGATTCTGGAGTGCGCGCCCAGGTAAAGGTTTGAAGCGACTCTGCCCATGTGTACATGGGCGTTTCTTCTGCCGTGTTTGAGGAGTTTCATTTGAAACCATCTCTTCGCTGATCCTTCACAATCAAAGTACAAGCAGTGTGGCTCTTGATGCCGTGCCACTCGACGCCGTTCTACAGCCACGTGCACGCGCCGATTCCGATGCGGATCCTGGACTGTGCGCCGAGGTAAAGGATCATCTTCGAAGATGATGACTGAAACTCTGGTCGGATTCTTTTAGAATCCAAGCGTATATGCTTGCAGGAGATCAGTCGTTTGCGTGTTTTAGGTCTTCTGTCATCTACACTGCCTGTTTACTTCTAAAATTCGAGATTCTTTCTGTAAGCTTCCTAAAATTTGAAGTAGCTTCGTTTGTTGGAATGCCCTGTAGTCGAAGTGGTTTTGGATTCGGCTCTCTCCCACTCCGTCACCTGTCTAGGCAGACACTTGACAAGCAGACCTGTACTAAGTTGGCCTCCATGTGATCAGCAGTCGAACAGGAAGGGAGCACTGAGAAGTGCCGACGTCTTTTATCTACTTCCGAGGCTTTGTAATTTTCAATTACCTCGGTGTCGTCCATTCTGATGACGATGCCTCCGTCATCCTTGAGTGGTGCTCTGCACTGCTGACGTCACTCCTCTCAACACCGCAGCTCTAAGCCGGGCCACGTGCGGGAGGACGACCGCTTCTTCCGCGACCCGGCGGCCTTTCTTTCACGGGAGTTCGAACTGCTGTCCAACAACGGGTCTGGGTCCCAGCACGCTGAGATCGACCGCAGAAGAGCCACGTGGCAGCAGCTGATTGGCTCCGCTGCGGAGGGGCTCGCGGAAAAGCTGCCCAGTCATATCGTCCTTTTTGAACCCGTGGAAAAGGGGGTTGAGGATCTGCTGACGCAGGAGGGTTTTGCCAAGGTTAGTGTCGAGCTCCCGGTTACCATGACCTCTGCGTCCAGAAAAATGGGAAAGTCAGCCATACATACTGGGCGTGTTGGCAAGACTTGTCGGAAAGGATTTATGTTGCGGGTGCGAGGATGAAAGTTACCGCACGTTGATCTCCGACCTCTCGGAAATAGCGAAACGGTCTGGATCATCGGCGTTGTACTTTTGGCGGGCTTGGATCTGAGGAAGGGGGGCTTTCAGTTCCTTTCGATGTTTGGGGATCAAGAGGACGTGCTTTGTCGGGTCGGCGCTTAGATCCTGCAAAGACTTACAATCAACGGCAGAGATGACCACATAATCGGAGCAGGACCCTTTGCGTTATACCACAGATTAAAGGTCAGTGCCGCTCCTCTTTCTCAAACGTAACCATACCTAAGCCAACGCCCTGCATCAGCGTCCGCTCCATGTCAGGATGAGTCATCTCCCAAGAAAAGGCAGGAGACTCTTTGAAATTCTCTGAGGCCCCTCCAAGAAAGAAATGACGAATTAGCACTACTTCGCCCCCACAGGGACCCCGCTTCTTCCACGCACACTTTCCAGTGGACCGGGAGCTTCAAAGCCACGTGGTCGTGTACGCGCGCGTTTCTGGGGGTGCAGCTTGAGTGCTAATCTACCAGGACGGCGCTGCGCTTCCAACGACGAGAGCGGAGCGCCCACTTGTGGCACTGGAAGGGGAAGCGAGTTGACACCAAAGCTCTTCCACCAGGTGAACAGAGTGGGACAGTTCATGACACTTGGAAAAGCGGAAAACTAGTTCATGTTGACCAATGCTATGATTCTTGACGTGAATGCGCCCGGCAGTAGCTCAGGCGGTGCGGGGAGTGACGCTTCATACAAGAGAAGAGGGGAACTGAATTGCGTGCCTCGAATACTCTTGCGTGAAGTAAGCCTCTTGTTGCGTTGCAGAAACAGCGTCTACGGCTACAAGAATCTGTACTCGCGAATCGTTGGTCGCCGCCCTATCAGGCTAGTCCTTTGTTTCTTAACGTCCTCTGATTAGCGGTTCCTCTTCCTTCTCCGATGCAGCTACTCATGACAACCGTGGCCAACCCTATGACGCAAGGAGTCGGGTAGTGATCCTTGAGAATTAGCTTCAATGAGGAGAGTGCGAGCTTGAGGTCATCCCTAGCCGATACTTGCAGATAGCGTCGACGCTGTGACTTAAATTTTGGCCACAAAGGAGTCAATTTGAGAGCTAGCTCTGCACACGCCACCATTGCAACTTTGGACTGCCTACCTGTTCTGCAAAACTGGAGGGCAGGGGCGCGGCCATTGTATATAGCATACACGCGAGGCCCACATGACTTGTTTATAGTTATGTCTGTAATATGCACATATGGCTTGTTTAGTGACGTGTATGATGCTATGGACGCCGTGGCCGTCCGATGCGCGCATGGCTGCGTGTAGTATCTCAGCCAGAGCAATCCACATGACGACCACGTTTGAATATGTAGCCTGCGCACGGATGCAAAAGTGTTTCGCAGATATGCGAACATGGAAGCCCGACTCGCCTCTACTATATCATTACAATATATACATCTTCTTATTAAACATGATGATACATCTGGCTGATGAATGATGTCATGCTAGTGAATCATTGATGAACGTGCCTGGACGGTAGCATACACGTCGAGGTTGGCACGTGCATATGCGCATGATTCCATACCTGAGTTCCCGATACGCCTTGGAATAAGACCCGGCTTACCCTAAAACCTTGTGTTCGTCTGTTCATCACCAGGTTGTTGCGAAGAAGCACGTGTCTTCAAGAACAACCGGTATTGAAGTATCCCCTACCTAATTTTGCCCGATTGAAGCGATCCACGTGTCCAGGTCACCAGGAAGATTCCCAGGGCGTCCATGACTTCCAAGATCGCGTCGTTTCATGGAGGTCTCAAGACAATATCTGCCTCCGTATGATGTCGTGCTTATACAACGGTAAGACACACTCTAACAAGTAGTTGCCATCCGCAAAAAATAGGTTGTATTAGGGTGACTAAACGCATTTTTTGTTGCAAGATGGGTGCTCAGGCCGGACACGACCGTAGAACAGTCGGAATACCAATTAGACTTTGTTGCACTTGATGCAACTAGGGGACAACCTTCTCGTTGACACTCTCGAACTCCTCCCCCGCTTCGCCAGCGCTCTTCATCAGGCACGGGCGGCAATTCGCGGCCAAGAAACGCCTGCGCATTATCGTCGCCACGGGCAGCTTGCTCTCCAGGGTCTCCTTCAGAAGCAGGTTGAACTGCACCAGGATGCTCAGAAGAGACACCGCGATCGAGAGTGTGAACGTGTGCTGGTCGATGTAAATGCGCGTGGAGCGCGAACTGCCCAACAGGTAGAGGACGCTCTGGAAAAGGGCCTGGGGAATGGAGCGCAGAATCAGCTCCAGCTGCGCGCGCAAGTCGGAGTAGGGCCGCAGGGTGTACACGTCAGCGCCCCACCGGAGGTGGAACCCGACTCTGTCCAAAAAGCCGATGACGTCATAAACGACGACGGCCGCGGCAGCCTCGGGTAGAGACGCGAGCGCCAGGGGGTACCTCCAGGCGGGGAGTTTGCCCAGGGGCGTGGGCGGGTAGGCGTCCGTGACGTCAGCGAACCAAACCCACTTGAAGCGTGCCTGGCAGACACGAGCAGGCCTAGCTAGGCATTCATTTGAGACGAGAGTGCCTAGGTAGCGCAGGTTTGACCACAGAGCAAGAGCAACACCGGGGAACCGATTCGAGCGTTCTATAACTCCTCCAATCTCAGTCAGTTTTATTATGATGATCATGGGACGGTCCGTATGTCAATGATCGGATAAAAAGCACAGGAAACTTAGGGGGCAAAATACCGGGGGCACACAACCGGTTTTCCAGGCTAGGTGCGGCTGACGTGATTGGCCATGGGGTGATGACGCAGGATCCACAGGGGTTTGTGCAGACAAGCCGACTCGGCTGACTGAGGATTGACCACATTCTACTATCTTGGTACTAGGTCTCTCAGTAGCCAGCCGTCAAGTAGGCATGTTTGACGACGAAACTTCCTTGTTATCCACCTTAGAGGCCGTGAAGCAAGCAAGCTCACTGACGCTGCATGGCGTGCTGGCGGTTCTCCTGACCTCGATAAAACAGCAGACCTTATCTACCTGCCATCGTACTTGATTCAACCAATATCACACTGACATGGAAGATCAAATTGACTACGTTTGACGTCTAAATCAAACCCACTTCAACCTGAAAGGAAAGAGATAGAGGTCCGACCTTCCTGTGACATACGAGGGCCGCTGAGAAGTGACGGGAAACGAGTGCAATACAGGCTTGCAGAAAACGCACTCTTGTCGAACCTCGTGAGAAACGGTACCGATTTTCGGTGTGGTCTTCAAAGCAAGAGTAGTGAATCCTAAAGTGAAAAGCCACTGAATTGCTTACCTTCCAGATCGAGTTGGGCGTCGGATCAACCCACCAGACGCACGCGATGCAGGCGGCACTGATGAGATACGGGGCCAGAATCGCGCCCAGAACGACCCACGCCGACCAGACCCCCCAAATGTCCGCCACGACCGCGATATCGGTTGCCAGGTCGGCCCACGGCAGGAGCCCCGAGACCAAGCCCCACATGTACAACGCTAGGGTCAGAATGAAGTTCTGCCCCGAAGAGCTGCCCGTCTTCATGAGGAACCCGCTCCGCGCGGCGATCCACCAGCCGAGGGAGCTCAAGAGGACGAGCCCGGAGAAGACGCCATACGCGACGGCAACCACCGTTTTGGCTTCCGGGTTCCCGCACAGGTTCCCCGCCTGCACACGCGCAAAGCCGACGCCGGTGTACGCCACTCCCCCGGGGCCCAGGTCGATCTTGTCAATGAACCGGCTGTCGTTGAAGAAGTAGGGGCCGCGGCTGTTGTTCAGGTACGGAGAAAGGGGCGACCCGAGCGGGAACTGCAGAGTTGGGGGATCCCCCTCCAGGAAGACCGAGATGCGGTTGAGGCACACCGTCTTGCGCGTGCTGCGGCTCAGCTTGGCCCCAGTGCCCACCAAGTTCACCAGACAGCCCGTGGAGCTCGTACACGCGCCCCAAAACGTAATGTGCGAAACCGGACGGGAGTACGTCACGTAGGGGCAGCTCGCGGGGACGATTGACAGGTCCAAATTTCCGTTGGTCGCCCCGGCGCCGCTAAGTTGCAAAAGGCGCAGGTCCGGGGCGATAAGTGGGGGATCCCTGGAGGTCAGGTTTGGGAGGGCGACGATCTGCAGGCCGCTGAAGTTGGTTCCTGGGAGCATCGCCAACGGGCCGTTGTTGCTGAAGTCCAGGAGCAAGGAGAAGGTACCGTCCCGAACAAAGGGGCCAATCCGGAAAGAGCCCGAAAGGTTGTTGTTGGAAAGGTTGAGCTGGGAGAGGAGTGGGAGCTGTTGGAGCTCTAGTGGGGGACTGCCGGACAGGTCATTGGAAGACAAGTCCAGGAGCAGATAAGGCAAACCCAAGGTCGACTTTGTGGACATTTTCCCGACCTCCGCAGGAATGGCGCCCGAGAACCTGTTGTGCGACAGGTCTACACCGGCTTTGCCAACAAAGAAATTGGGAGGGATTGGTCCTTCCAACTCGTTGTGCTGCAGATACAATAGTCCGCTCCTTGAAAAATTTGTAAGGGGGGTAACAGGGCCCTGCAGACTGTTGTAACTAAGGTCTAGCGACCCCAAATTTCGAAGCTTGCTGAACTCTGATGGGATCATGCCTGAGAGCTGATTAGAGCTGAGGTTGAGAAGGTTGAGCCCTGAGAGGGTTCCGAAAGGTGGGATAAGGCCCGATAGATTGTTGGAGTCTAGTTTCATACGCCTAAGCATGGGCATGTTGGCAAGCGCAGGAACTGGACCCGAAAGCTGGTTGTTGGACAGCTCAAGGGACGTTAAAGTCGTGATATTACTGAGCTCAGGTGGTATTGCGCCTGTTAGCCTATTATTGGTGAGGTCTAGTGTCGAGAGCATTCTAGCCTGACCGAATTCTGCAGGGATGGTTCCAGACAGCAGGTTTGATCTCAAATCCAGGTAGGTCAGGTTTGGCAGCAACGCTAAAGCTCTCGGAATAGGCCCCGACAACCGGTTCTTCGACAACGTTAATAAGCTCAACCTAGACAGGTTGCCCACACAAACCGGAAATTTAGCTTGGAGGTTGTTGTAACCCAGGTTCAGGTTGACCAAGTTGGACAGCCGAGACGGAGGATATCGACGATAAATTGTTGGATGATATGTCCAACTTTTGCAGCGCAGTCAGATTGGCAATGGCTGTGAGTAAAGGACCCGCTATGCTGGCATTGGACAGCTTCAGACTGGTCAGGTTGGTCAGGCGGGAAACCAGCCCCAACGTTTGACCAGAGCGATGGAGTCCCCACGCGCCGCTAAGATCCAACTCCTTGAGCTGCGGCAGGTTGCTCAAACAATCGGGGATGGGCCCAGAAAGGTTGGTATTTGGCAGCGCCAACTTCTGCAGGTTTGAGAGTTGGCACAGCTCGGTTGGGATAGGCCCTGATAGGGAGTATATGCTCGACAAGTCTAGCTCCTCGAGCTGAGACAGGTTGCCCAGCTCGGGGGGAATGGGCCCTTCAAGCTTTGACAATGACGCCAACTTGAGCACCCTGAGGTTGCTCAGGCGGCCAATCTCGGGCGGGATCTGGCCGCTGATGGCGAAGTTCACGCTGAGATTGAGACTGACAAGCGCGGTACATTTGCCTATCTCGGGCGGAATGGGACCGACCAGTTGCTTGAACCAAAGGTCAAGGGACGTGACGTTGTTGTACTCTGGGCAGCCTTGCAAATAGCTGACGTTAAAAGCAGCCGCGCTGCTTATCTGCAGAACGATGATCAAGACTGCCAATAGGAAAGCCGATTGGGGACGTAGGGCCGTGCTGCGAGTCGAGCGATGGCATGCCATCTTGCACCTTAAAAGCCCAAGGACTGCCGGACTATCTGGATCACTATCTTCCCAGCAGTTCACCTCCTCTAAGACCTTCTAGGAGACAAGAAGCACCTAAATGGGCTCGGGAGATCAGGGATGAGCTGCAAGCATCATATTGCTGCAGCGTTCAACTTCAAATCGGTAGACCTGCAAGCTGACCAAATCACTCGAATTCCTGAGGGCTCCATCAGCCAGATTTGAATCTACATTCCAGTCTGCCAGTCCACCCAAATTCAAAGGTTCAGGACTTAGGTCCTACCCATGGGGCAAGGAGAAAGAGGACTCCGAAGTGCAGGTCTACAACTTGAGGCTGGGAAAGCTCACGCAGCGAGTGCAGAGTCGTGCGTGACTCTGATCGAGA